AGAACAAACACACCAGGGAGAGGAAAAAAAGATACAAAGCAAATGTGTCTTTTGCAAAAAAAGACTACAAAGCTAAATCACACCCTGAAGAGAAAACATGTAACAACAGTCCAGCTACAGGAGAAAACAAAGCAACAGGCAGAGCAGCAGACAAAAGCTAAATGCACTCATGAAAAGGCTGAATCAGACCAGATACTGACAACTAAAGGCCAACGAGACGCTGAGGCTACACACCAAGGAGATAACACGTCAGAAGAGCTTGGCACAGGCTAAAGGAGAAAAAAAAAGGAGACTGTATTCAGATAACTCACCAAAGAGAAGGAGAAAAGGAAAGGTGACCAGAAGAAAACATTTAAACAAATCAAAGAGGCCTTGGCTCAGGCCCTGGCCTATGGACAGCCAGATATAGCCAAAGCTTTCTTCTCATCTATATGCCCATAAACAAAAAACAAATGGCCATAGGGGTCTTCATCTAGGTCACGGGATCATGAAATCAACCAATGGTAGACTTGTCAAAGCAGTCAAATCCTGTAACCCTAGGATGGCCTCTATGCTTTAGGGAACTTGCTGCCACCACCTTGATGATCCAGGAGGCTAATAAATTGACTTTCGGACAACTGACCATTCGGGTACCACACCGTTATAACCTTAATGGACCAAAGACAACACCATTGGTTGCCAAATCCAAGGATGACTCAGTATCAGGAACTCCTAAGAGAAAATTCCCACATAACTCTAGAAACAATAAACAATCTGGTCACTTTGCTCGCACTCAAACTGAGAGTCCCCCTTCAGGACTGTATGATTGTGCTAAATGAGGTCCAATGAAAAGAATATGCAACGGTGACTGGACTATGTGGTAGAGGTCCAGCCTCAGCCCAGAAAGTAAAGCTATCAACCTTAACAAGGCCTCTTGTGACAGCAAAAGGACAAAAATGTTCACATCTATACTGACTCTAAATATAAAAAGAGGGTTCCTGGGGGATAGAGGAAAAGAGATAAAGTTGAAAAAAGAGATTTTACAGCCCCTAGATGTTCTATAGGCCCCCAAAAAAGTGGCCACTATACACTATAGAGGGTAACAGAGGACTGGACCATCAAAAGCCAGAGAAAACCAAAAAACAGACAGGGAAGCAAAGTGAGCTGCTATGACAGCCCCACAAAGAGGTGCCCTAGCTACATCCCTCATCCTGGAGCTTCCTCTCCTGGAGACCCCAAATTAGTCTACAAATGAAAAGCCATGGTTTGCCTGAAAATTATATTAAGGGAAGAGGGTGAATATTCTCTGATGGGAGACGAGCCATCAAAGAAATGATGGTCCTCAGGTTGTGAGAATTCTGCCAAGGGACTCACATGAGAAAGATAACACTGGAGAAGTTACTGTGACATTATTCTACACGCCACAGCTCACAGCCATCACCCAAGCTATTTGTAAACAGTGCCTGACCTGTGCGCAAAACAATCTGAGACAAGGATCTGCTCGGCGCCCGGGTACTCCAGAAATGGGTGCCCCTGCTGGGGAAGCGTGCTTATTGTCTTGTCTGAACTTTGAACTGAGTTCTCCTCTGTGTCCAGCATTCCACCATTAAACAAACTGGATTTTCCCCTTGGAAAATCTTGTTCGGCAGTCACCCCCAATCATAAGGTAAAATTAAGAGTGATTTTGCAAAAATTAAGAAAATTGACCTTAAGGAGATAAATATAATTATGCTTGAGAATAGCCGTATAACTCATCCATAACTATACACAGAAGAGAATGCCCATAAGCCTGACAGACCCAATACACCCCTTCAAATCTGGGAACTTTGGGTTAAAAAATAAAATCCAACAACTCAGATCCACATGAAATGGGCCTCATACTGTAATACTGTCTACCCCTACTGCTGTCAAAGTCACAGGAAGTATGCCCCAAATCTACCACAGTCAGCTGAAATCAGTGGCCCAAAACAAGTGGAAAGTGGACTAGCCAGCAGGACCCAGATCACCTGAGCCAGCTGGTCCTGTGAGGCCTGAACCACCACTAGAAACAACAGCCCTGTTCTAGTCACCCTAGAAGCTGATAGTCTACACACAGCCCAACCTTGAGGAAAAAGCCCTGCTGTGGTCACTCTAGAAGCGAATCAGTCTACACACAGCTGAAGCTCGTGGTTTAACATGAGGATGTTAAGAGACCTAAGTCTCTTTTCCTTTTTGTTACAGTTCTCCATTTGCCCAGCAGGGGAGCAATCGCCCATAACGAAGTGAATTATAATGATAGTGATGCTCTCAATTCATTTATAGAAAGTACCAAAAGGGATAAGGTTTTTTAAAATTCAGGGTTTTTTTGTTGTTGTTGTTTGTTTTTGGGGGGGTTTCTTTGTATTTTAGGGAAGGGTCTACAGGGTGTTCAGGGTCCCACTACTAGATCGCACTTATAGTGAGCCACCTGTTTATAGCCTCCCAAGAGCTGGGATTGCAGGCACGTACCACCACGCCCAGTCTCAAAATTCAGTTTGAAAACCATGAATGATTTGGGGTTTTTTTTAAAAAAAAAAAAAAAAACTTTAGCAGGGCTGGCAAGATGGCTCAGTGGTCTAAAGCACCTACTTGGAACAAGCTTGGGAAAGCACAGGGACCACGGTTTGATCCCCCAGCACCACATGCCAGCCAGCCCCCACCCCATGGTGGGCTGAGCTGGCCACACACACACACACACACAATAAATAAATAAATGTTAAAAAAAAAAAACTTTAACAGAAAAAAAAAAACTTTAACAGGAAATTTCAAATGTACAAAAATAGAGAACAGAATAACAGATGAAGGGGTAACTGTTGATGTTGTATATGAATCTCCTTCCACCAGCCCACAAGTTCATGCCAAAGGCCAATCCCCTTGACCAAATGTATAAAGCTGGAACCTGTCCTTTATCTTCTGTTCAACCATTTTGAATTTCTCAGCTGAGCCAAAATACATTTAAAAATAAATCTTGGGGCCAGAAAGATAGCTCAGTGGCATGAGCATCTGCCTGGCAAGTGCAAGGTCCTGGGTTCAATCCCTGGTACCGCATGCCGGTTGGCCATGGAAACCGGGTGTGATGGCACAGGTAATCCCAGTGCTGGGGAGGCTGAGAGCAAAATTACTATGAGCCCAAGCTGCATAGTGAGACCCTGGACCAAATACATAAATAAAAGACTTTTTAAAAGAATAAAAATAGAGGCTGGGGAGATGGCTCAGTGGAATAAGCGCTTCCCTGGCAAGCGCAAGGGCCTGAGTTCAATCCCCAGTTCTGCAAAAAAAAAAAAAAACTTTTTTTAAGCATACAAAAAGATTAACCATTTTTTCTTATTAAAATGCCGATAGGAAAAAAAAAAAAAAAAAAAAAAAAGAATAAAAGGAAAATCTTCCTGTTTCTCATTTGGTCCCTCCTATCTCTTAAATTCTACAACATTTCAGGCTTGGGTGCTGGCAGGACAACCCTGCCATGGCAACCACCCAAACGACACTGGCAGGAACTGTAGCTCCTGTGCAGCGTATGAGAGAAGAGGCAGTTTGTGGAAGGAAAGGTTTATTTATTTATTTTTTTTTTTGCGGAACGGGGGATTGAACTCAGGCCCTTGCACTTGCCAGGGAAGTGCTTATTTCACTGAGCCATCTCCCCGGACCCCAAGAAAAGGCAGTTTGTGGTGGCCAGCTTTGGTGAGCACAGCACAGGTTGGCTGAGGCTGTGCTGTTTTCCACTAGGCATTGCTATCATCTTCTTAGCAAGCAAACCGGCCAAGGTAAAAGAACTGCCCAGGTCTTGTGAACCCATGCCTCTCAATATAAAGTCTCATCTTTTGCTGAAAATTATATCACTAGATATAAAGATAACATTCCATTCTGTAGAGGCACATGGCAGATGCCAAGATAAATCTGGGCTCTTAGTGCTACCCAAGTGGGACCAGACCATCTGGAGCCTACCCAGCTAACTCCACCTCCAAATGTGGAACCCTCAGTGCTACGGTGACCAGAAGTTTTAAGTGAGTTAGTTACCTGGCAAACCAGAGTTAGCCTCGGAGAACAAGGCAATGCATGGAAGGGCTGGGAGGTGTCTTGGGGTCCTTGAGATACTGCCTGTGGACCAAATGGTTCAGGCAATTTGGGTATCACGTCTGCTTGCTCCATCTGCTTTGGGGGAAAATATTGGCAGCAACATATGTATGTCAAAAATCAAGCTACAAAATCAAGCTTTATTTCCTTCTAGTAGCTTCCAAAAATAAAGTGACCGTTAATGAACTTGGCTCCTAACTGGGAGTAGGAACTAGAAAAATTAGGGGATTATTAAACTCCTACTGCCTTGATCAACACATTTGCAGGTTAACACTGTAGAGAAGGAACTGGAACTCGGAGTGCAGTTCCATGGTAGAGTGGGTGCTCAGCATGCCTGAGAACCTGGATCTTATCCCCAGCATTGCAAAAACAAACCTTGGAGAAAGAGTGGTCCTTGCTCTAGCTTTCTGTCTACTGCAATAAAACTAAGGAAAAATGGGAGCGGGGCACAACTTTGACACTATCAAATTTCATAGAACTAGAGAGTTAAGAATTCATTCCTAAATATTTCGAGCTGTGCTTTCCATTTGCTAAAAGACGGTAAGAAACATGTCCACAGCACTTGCGCTTCAACACCAAACACGCACTCGGGCGCTGTGGAACATCACACACCGACCGCACTATTTCGAGGCTCAAAGGGACCCAAGAAGGCCCCACACCCGCCGGACCGCTCCCGCTCTGCAGTCTTCCTGTCCCTCCATCCCTTCCCTCTCTCCATCAGCACCGCTGCGCGCTCTTCTCGCGCCTCGACACGCCCGAGGCGAGAACACGACGAAACGACCAACGAGGCCGGCCTTCCCACGGAGCTTCAGGCAGACCCAGAAGCCAAGGCGACCCCACTCGGCGGCTTAAGTCCCGCGGGCGCCCCCGCGCCGCCCCGCGCCGCCCCGCCCCGCCCCGCAGTGCCCCACCCAGCCCAGCAGCTCACTCACCCCGGCCCGGCGAGTTCCTCCTTCGTACACCCGCCCTGCAGGTGGCCGCGCTGCGCCCCCTGGGATTTGTAGTCTCTATTCCGCCCTCTCCAGGCGCCGGCGGACGCGGCTTCGGAATAGAAACAAACTTTCGGCGGCCCTCGCGAGAGCCTGCCAGGTGCCTCTGGCCTCCGAGTTCTCGCGATGCTGTAGGAGGCACGCATGAAGCATCCTGGGACTTGTAGTCTGGAGCGACTTGGTCCGTGCGAGGGAAGAAAGCAGATTACTTGGCATTGCAAGGAGTGTACGGCCGCTGCGGATGGGCTCCGAGGCGAGTGCTGGTCTCGCGTGCGGGGCTGTGAGATGCGGGATGCGGAACTCGGTCCGGGTTTACAAAGGAAGGCACGGAGATGGGGTCCCGCGCCTGGCCCGAGGCATCTCGGGATTTCGTGCCCTTAGTGGAGCGGGCGCCCCCTCGAACATTAAGACCACGGGTCAGTCCTGCTGCGGGCTGGACGCCCCTGGGGATCTCGCGGGCTCTGTGCGGAATGGAGAATTGCGGCATGGGCCTCCAGGCTGCGCTGGCCTTGATCCCTCGGCCAGCGGATCGGGCCACCGAGGGGGAGCAGCGCGGGTTTCCATCTTGGCTCGGAGCGGCTTCAAGCACGGAAGCCTCGCCAGAGTTCGGTGACCTCTTCCTGGCCCAGGAAGGACAGTGGCGCAGACCCTGCAGTACCTGGCCCTCGGGGCGCGCTTCCGGCAGCAGGAGTAGCCGAAGGACGGTGGCCGCGACCCTGGTTCTGAGCCGGTGAAGCTGGTCCAACGGGTCGGAAGTCTCCGAGTCGTCTTCAGGCACTCTTGTTTGGACCCTACCCCAGGCTGTAGGAGCTTGGAGGACTTGGGACGGGAGGCTCAGTGGGTGCTCCAGCCCCAGTGACCAGATTGCCAGGGTCTCGGTGGCATCTTGCACTGGTTTTGTCCCAACAGCATAAGACCAGGCAAGTGGGATTTCTGTTTGGGTCGTCGCTGCCTCTGGGCTGCCCAGAGAAGGAAAACTGCAGCCTGTTTGTTTCTTCCCTGTTATGGATTGAACCCAAAGCTCTTTCACTGAAATAGCCTTTTTCATTTTTTGTTTTGAGACAAGGTTTCACTGAATTGCCCACCTGGGCTGGAATTTATGTAATCCTTCTCCTTTAATCTTAATGAGTGCTGGAATTAGAGGCCTGTGCCACCTTACCCACCTTTGGTTCTTTGGCTTTGTTGATTGTTGTAGAGCATCATCCCTTTCCAGGGCAAATTATTCCCCACTGATGGGCCAAGCCTTTCTGAGTTCTCTACCGATTCCCATGAACTCAGGGTTTTCCTATCTGTCTGGGGGACAGGTTTCTGCTGTCCATGTGTGAGTCCCATTCTCAGTCCAGTGCAATCTCTGCACATGCCTGTATTGCTCTGGGGTCTGCTAAATCCCCTAGGGCTTCCTTGTACCACTCTCCTCTGGCTGCGTTATCTCCACAGGCTGGAAAGTTTCTATCTCCCATCTCACCCTTACAGCTCTCAACTTCAGCTTCCCAGGGTTGGTGGGGAGGGGCTTCAAATGTGAGTAGTGGTTGCCTACTATAGTAATGATACTGTATTTTTAGAAAAGCTCCAATGTTATTTAATAAATGCTAGTTTACTGCTATGTAAACCGCGTTTGTGCCTTGTTTCCAGCCTCCTTCCAAGACCAGGAAACCGCTGTCTTTGGTCCTCAACACCAGGTGCATGTTATCAGGAAGGTGAGATGTCATGGGCTAAGGGGGTCCTAGTGTATTTCTGCTCAGTGTGCTGGCCAGGTTCAGTGGTACATGCCTGTGATCCCACCTACTCAGGAAACTGAAGTAAGAAGAGGATCTTGAACTCAAGTCAACCTGGGCTGCATAGTGACACCTTGTCTCAGAATACCAAAAGGCGAGGAAATATGTTCAGTGGTAGAGCACCTGCCTAGCAAGCAGGAAGCCCTGGGTTCTGTCCCCAGTGATGCGCGTGCATGCACACGTGCACACACGTGAGCGCGCGCACACACACACACACACAGCTTCATGTGCTGTATAGTCCTTTGTGTGCCTGTCTCTGCACTGAGCATCTTAACACACCTCCCTGTTGTCCTCTGGAGCAGGAGGTTTCGGTCGTCACCCTTGGGAGTACCTGGAGTGCTCTTTGAACCTGGGCCCTCATATTTTACTCCTTTGTCTGAAGGGAGTACATCCACCAGGAGCCTTTTGAGAAAGGGGTGCCCCAGCTGACTTAGGGTGCTGTGTGTCTTCAATGTCTGCAATACTCTCTCCCACGGTGGGCAGGCAGCCCAGCCAGCTACAGACCCAGCATTGTTTTGGGCCCTCCAGTTCCACCCTCACCCACTAGGCTGTGTGTGCCTCCTACTGCTTTCCTGAGACCTTCAAGATCTCTTTTCTTTTTCATTCCTTTCTTTTTTTCAGCGCTGGGGATTAAATTCATCACTCCCTGCATGCTAGGCAAGGGCTCTGCCAGTGGGCTGTATCCCCAGCCCAGCATGTAATAGCCACCCACCCACCCATCTGAAGTTTCTCTGGGCTGTATGCCAGGTTTGGGCTGGTTTTCTCTTTCTCCTGTTCGGGGCACAGGGGTCTGCTGCTCTGGGCTCTTGGGTTTCCTCCCTTCAGTTCTGCGCTCTCGCTGCAGCTTAGATGTTGCACCTCTTTTGTGACCTAGAGACCTTTCTTTTTCTTTCTTTTATACTCTTACTTGGATTTATTTTATGCTTAATTTAGTCCTATGCTATAAGTTTTTGGATTTTGAGGGGTTTTTTTGTTGTTTGTTTTTGTATTTTAGGGAAGGGTCTATAGGGTGTTCAGGGTCTCACTACTAGATTGGACTCGTAGTGATCCGCCTGTTTACAGCCTCCCAAGAGCTGGGATTACAGGCGCGCGCCACCACTGCCGTCTCAGGGCGCCCTGGGGGCGGGGCAGGCAACAGCAGGCTCGGGGATCAAACCCCCAGCCCCTGCGCCTGCTCCACTGAGCTATTTGGCCAGCCCAGTTTTTGTTTCTTAAGTTTCTTCTGGAATATCTCTTCTGTGTAACTTCCTCCTCTGCTTTAGGAACAGAAGTCACTTCAATATGGCAGGGGAGCTCATGGATGAGCTAGTCTTACCCTGATCTCTGTAAGTACCGCAGCACATCTTGGGTGCTTTTTCACCTGGATATGTTCAATTACCAGAGAATCTGCATGTAGACCCTTAAATTCAGCATTACTTTCTACATTTTTAAGCATGCGTAGCAAAAATTCAGCACTTTTTGGGCCACCAACCCTGTGTCCAGCCCCACTGTTTGGCCTGGGCACACCTACCAACTCCACCATTGTAACACCAGAAGGGCACACTTTACTTCCTTAATGTGACATCCTTCAGGATACTACCCTGCTGATATCTCCGAGGGGCAGGTTTGGAACTAATATTATGTCTGTCTCCATGTGATACCAGCAGTGTTATGGCCACTCACTCATCCTTAGGATACCCCCCACCCATCCCAGGGCACGATGCTGAGTACACAGGGTAAATCCTGACCAGCAAGTGGAGTCTGCAGTGGCACTTGGTACTGGGCTGCTGCTGAGGTGCACGGATTCACATAGATACATAGGGCCAGCTCCTGGCTCATCTCCAGCTGGCTAGTAAAGGACATCAGACCCAGAGCCTCTGGATAGGTGGTGGGAGGTGAGAAAGGCTGGGTAAGCCCCAGGAAAGTGACAGTTTTGGGGTCCCTCCAACACCATCACTATGTCCCTGGCCCTCAGGCCCAGGCTGGTGCTGTATACCATGCTGGCTGGATGGCTAAGCACTCTTCTCTGTGTGACAGGGCCTGGGGTACAGATGAGCCCTGAGCAGCTGCTGTTGCTGTCAGGGAAAATTAAGAATTGGCCTTAAATTAAGAGTTGGCCTGTCAGACAAGTGTTTTAAGGCTCCTGCTCTGGAAAGAGTCCCCTGGAGTATTCTCAGGGACCCCATGGGCCCAGAATGGGACAACTGGCTCCACAGTTTAGGTGGCAAACAAGGATTTCTCTTAGGGTCTCATCAAATAGAAGGAAAACCCCTATATTAAAGGCCACAGGGGCTGGTGAGATGGCTCAGTGGTCTAAAGCACCTACTTAGAACAAGCTTAGCAAAGCAGAGGGACCGCGGTTCAATCCCCCAGCACCACATGCCAGCCAGCCCTGCCCCCCTGGTGGGCTGAGCTGGCCACACACACACACACACACATACATAAATTAAAAAAAATGTAGAACCCAGGTGAAGATGCTGGGGGAGCCATATGGGTGGAGAGCAGGGGCCAGTGAATCCCACCAGGGACCCACAGACATCTCCAAGGTAACCAGTGTTCATGTCCCCAAGGACAGGCCCTTTTCACCCCAGTGGGATCTCACTGAGAATGTTTTGTGTAAAATGGGATTAGTACTCATTTAAGGGAACTTGTCCCATGAGAGGGCTAGATTTCCCCCTAAATGTTCAAATGAGGATGTTGCTTAGATTTGGTTATCTATCTATCTATCTATATCTATCTATCTATCATCTATATCTTTCTGAGAGAGGGTTTCACTATGCAGTTCAGGCTGGCCTTGAACTCACTTTGTAGTCCAAGCTGGCCTCCAACTCCCAGCAATCCTCTGCCTCAGCCTCCTGAATGCTGGGATTACAGGCATGTGCCATCACACCCAGCTAAGATTTGATATTTTAAAGATTAATGTTAACTCAAGTGTGCAGTATGGGAAAACCGAAGGGAATTTAGCAATAAGCATTGTATGTATTTAACTAGTTTAGGTGTATATTAGTCATTTAGTTGGGAAGATTTTGTTAATTCAATATATATAAAAAGGGATTAGAAAATATTGCATTTGTAAATACAGTTAATAGTTTAAAATACTTGAAAATGGGCAAATGACATAAGGACCTGTTACAGTTTGTGTCTAGGTGTCCCCAAAGCCTCATGCAGTCATGGGTGACTTCTGGAGTTTGTGATTGCTTCATGATCCAGTGCTGGGATTATGGGTGTGGGTGCTATTCCTGACCTGGGTGGGTAATCTGTGTTACAGTGTGAGGAGGGGAGAGAGGCTTGCTAGAAGCCAAAGCTGCTGCCTCTCCCTTTGCTCTTTGCTGTTTTCTGCCACCATGAACAGCTGCCCTCTGCCATGTGCCACTCTGCCTTAGAGCCAGCTGAGTGTGGGGTGAAACCGCCACTAACTGTGAGCTAAATAAACCTTTCCTTTCTTAGTTCTGGGTGTCTGGTATTTTGTCCTAGCAACAAGCGAAAAGTAATGAAGACAGGACCCTTCAGTGAAGAAGATGTACAGATGGCAGATACGCTGGTGAAAAACAGCCTTGGTGGCCATTAGGGAGTGGGACAGAAAGATGGCCACCATGCACTTCAGAGGGGTGGCAGCGCATGGGGAGGCTGCACGTGCTGGCAGAAGTGAGGAGCAGTCATCTGTGCAGCTGCCGGGGGTGATCTGCAGAGCCAGCCAGGGAGCAGTTCCTCCCAGAGGGTACTCACTGCGGGGCACAGCCTCCTCCTGGGTACTCGCCCTGCAGGAATGAAACCCCGCACCCTGCTCAAGGCAGTTTTATTGGTAACAGCTCAAACCCAGAAGCAATCCGTTTCCCGTGGTGGGCACAGCCACCCTGGGGACCTGCACAGCATGAAGGGGAACCAGTCATCAATAAGTACTGTGCCTGGGTGACTCCATGTGTCTGACACCCGTGGAGTCTTAGACAATGTAGAGAGAAGAGATCACAGACTGAGGGGGGACAGAAGTTGTGAGGAACAGAGATGGCATACAATGATGGGATGGGTGTGAGACACCATGCTGTTTGGGGGAATGGGATCCACACGCTCCACTAGATCTCCTAAGTGGTGTGCTGGGCCTTCAGTTCAGGCTTCTTTCCCTTTCGTACAGTGACACTTGTTTGGACAGAGAATTTACTCTGGAATATCTGTTGCATCAAAGAGGAAAGAGCTCCCATCAGCTTTACCACTAGCCACCATGGAAGCAGGTCCTGCTTTGGGAGCGACTGGAGCTGACTCCATTGCATCACCTCAGGAAGCGGGGTCCCTAGGGCAGGCATGCCCAGGCGCACTGACATCCTGACCTCCAGGGACACAATTATCTTCACTTTGTTCCCAGGGGGTCAGTCTTCCAGGCAGCCCGGGCTCTTTTGGCTTCAACATGAGGGCATAGAAGCTTCCTGGAAGGGGCCTCAGGATCAACCAGGTAAGTGGAGCCTCTGCAACTCTGGGAGCCCCACAGGGTACAGAAGCCCTGATCACCCCCACCCCTGCCTGCCTGTCTGGCCTCACCAAAGGGCCCAGTTGCTTCCACCCATCCCAGCAGCAGGTGAAAGTCATCAGCACCTCCTAAACAGGCTCAATTACCAGCACCATTAACTGTAGTAATTAGAAGGTGGCCTTAATGATTGTGTTTACTTCACCAGCTCCTCTCCTCTCCAGCTCTCAGCTGCAGTCCAGTGTCTTGTGTGGAGCTGGTGGGCCTGAGTCCTCTGAAGGAGGTGGGCCTCAACACCAGAAGTCCTGCAGTGCCCTCCAACCAGCCGAGGGGTGAGGCCACCTCCCAGGACCCTGTCTATGAGAGGGACTTGGGCTGTGGAGCTGTGAGCTGCAGGGGAAGGCAGGTGCTCAGTCAGGCTCCTGGCTTGTGGGGAGGAGGCCATGTGGGCCAGGGTGGGCCCTGCCGGGTGCTAGTGAGCCTGAAAGGCTGCAAATGCCCACCTCAGGTGGTCTGAAAGGATCTCTCTCCCTGCTCTGGGGCTTGGCCACCCTAGTAGGGGTAGATACTGCCTAGCTGTCTCCCTCCTCACCCAGCTTCTGCTGGGTGGGGGCCCTGCCTTCCTCTTTATGGGCCTTACTCTGAAACTGGGGCTCAGGCAGTGGGTTGGGGCTGGAGCGGGGGTCCCAGTGCTCAGAGCTCTGTGAGGAGTTTCTCGTTAAGCCTATAGGTGGCGCACCTCTCCAGAAGGACCAGGCTGGGAATGGGCGGGAGGAGGAGGCTAGGCCACTCTGGGCCCTGGGGGACCAAGGAGGAAACCTCACTTTAAGCCAGTCACCAGCGCTGGCCCTACCCAAAATGAACCCCAGCCCCTGAGGCTGCAAGCCACAGCTTCCTGGGGACCTCAGAGCCTCACCAGCACCCAGAATGCCAGCTGTTATCTCTCCCAACACCCCATGCTTCTACTCTTCATCCCAACGTGACCTACACAGGAAGCCTTGTGCCTAGGTCACCTTCTAGAGTGGACAACGGACTAAGACAACAGGCCTTATTCCCACAGGAGGTCCCAATATCCACAGCAGCTCTCCCAGCTCCTATGATTGCATCCTGATCCCCACTGATGTCGCTGTGTGCACCCCAAGGTCGTCATTTGCTCTGAAGTGCATGGGCCTGTTTCTGGGACCCTGGAACATCAGCAGCATCTCGAGCTCTGATGCTGAGCGTGAATCTAATCACATAAGCCACAGGCAGATGAGGAGTGGAGCTGTTTTCATAGAAATCATGAGGAACCCTCTGAACAAACTGGATGAGGCACTGTCCTGGAGGCAGCTCTGTAATCCTTCAGCAGAACCAGAGCCATCCACCTGTGGAGTGAATAGCTTCTAGGAGGGAAGTGGAGCAGAACAAGGGGCAAGGCCCACCCCCGAGATCCCGCTCCCCTGGGCTCAGGAGACCAGCGGCCTTGTCTTGGGTGCTCTCTCTAGACAGCCCCCCATGGGGTGGGAACACAGCCCAGAGTGCCATGGGAGGGAAAATTGGAGCCTCTGCCACACATGTGCTGAGCTCTGGGGTCTAGGTCACAGTGGGTCTGCTACCTCGTGGCCTCTCACTGTGTCAGCCTCCCTCAGATCCTGAGCCAGACACAGAGATAGAGAACATCTCTTGTCTGCCACTAGGTGTGGGCGTGCTTGTCACACAGCAATAGGTACACTTCAGGGTGCCCGCTGCTTCAGGTGGGGTGGCCAGGTGGCTGCTCTCCACAGCCTCATCCTGTGTCTGCTCTCCTGACATGCCGCGCCTCATGTGGACACACATCCACTTCACCCTCAGCTCCTTTTGGCCTGGAGCTTCCCCTGGGAGTTTACATTCAGCGTGTGCTGTCCAAGGCCCAGAGCAGGTTGACTGTGCTTTCCGGGCTCTTTGTGCCTGATGTCAAGTCTCTGGCCCCTGTGGCTCACAGGTGCACCGCATGGGGAAACTGGTCTGCTTTCCCCAGTATTTGCTTGGCAGCCTGGGCCCCAGTGGTGCTGCCATAGCTCCAGCTTTAGGCCCATTTATTGCTTAACACTGAGCACCAACCCCACCCTGGGCAAATATTTATTTGGCAAATAAGGGCTTGCCAGGACGAAGGCCACAGAAGGCTTCTATATGGGTGACACAGGAGTAAACAGCTGTGGTGGATGCCCCAGGAAGGTTGTGGACAAGGGGGAAGGAGATGGCCATGGGCCATAGGTACCCAAGGCCCCCAGCTGCTGGGCCACTGCCAAGCAGTAGGGACAGCTGCTTGGCAGGAGGCCGCTGAGCAGAGGGGCACAAGGAACGCCAGCTTCCTGGATCCACACAGTAGCCTATGCCAGCACAGGATGACCCTGATGTCCCTGGCGCCAGCCAGCCAGATCGTGGGTCTCTGTGTCCTGACAATGTAATAAGGGAAGTGTTGTGTTATGGAGCATAGGGTCTGAGCAACTTAAGCTTTCCAGACCAGAACGGTGAACAGGAGGCCTCCTGCAGGCTGGCAAACAACCTGCCTGCTAATGCCCCTCTGACCCCATAGTCTTTAGGGACACAGCTGGCTACCTCATATCCCTGGGCACCTTGAAATCCCTCAGGGCCAACTAACTGGCAGTCCCTCAAGTTTAAATCCACCAGTGAGGTACTGCAGGAATGGAGCCCTGGACTCTGAGGCTACTGAGTCCCTTCCCTGCCCTTGATGGTAGGTGGCTGTGGTGAAGCCTAGCCTCACCGTGAAGGACGGAGGCCCTGACGTAGCGTGAGGTATATACCTGTACTGGGTATGGGCAGAGTCATCTCTGTAGAAGAGACAGCCCAACCTGTGAGGTAGACACCCTTGGTTGGGACGACCCAGCACCGCAGCCCTCCCACATTCTTCTCAGAGCCAAGTGGAGCAGCACAGGTACTAGGAGTGACTTCCAGGTGAGGCCCTCCCCAGTGGAGCAGGTCCCTAAGTTCACCAAGTTCATCACACAAATGAGGTGCCTGAGGCACCTCAGGTAAGTAGAAGCGCAGCCACATGCTTGGGACCCTCTTCTCAAGCATAGAAGGTCTCTAGACAAACACCCGCTGTCTGTTCAGGGCCCATGGGAAAACATGAAGTGGGTTAGGAACCTGGTGGCTGACAGCAAGGGAGTGGGCAGTGTCAGCTCTGGTAGGCAGGATCAGCTCCACAGGCTGCAGTGTGGCTCTGCGGCTGGTCCAGCCCTTCAGAGCTGTAGCAAGTGGCCTGCATCACCCGGCAGCTCGAGCTCCAGGACCAGTAGCCGGACCTCACGCCCTGTACCTGTCTGTGAGACCATGTGGCCACGTCCGAGCAGCAATTGGTCACAGTAGCCGTCACCTGGCCCAAGCTTGGGCTTGAAAGTGGTGCCTGGGTTTTTTAAGTAGAACGAGGACACAAAGCTCCCTGTCCTTCCCCTCGAAGCCAGTGTGAGCAGACCCGGTGCTGGCCATGTAACACCACTACCCAGCAGTCGAATCATCTGGCAAACATGTAACAAGGAGCATTCGCCTCCCTTGCGGCCTCCAATGCAAGAGGTACAGCACATTGTTTAGCCCTGAGGGTTTTTAGACTTTTTTTTATCAGTACACAGAAAAATGTCCACCAGGAAGCTGGACCTAGTGGCACATACCCAGAATCCCAGGATTTAGGAGAGTGAAGCAGAGGATTGTAAATTTGAGGCCAGCTCGGATAACTTGGAAAGAACCTGTCTTTTTTTTTTTTAAGATCCTGTCATAAAGGGAAAAATAAAATCCAGCACCAAAAAAAGCTTCTCCTGGCCCAGGGCTATAACACAGTGGCATAAGCACCTGCCTAACAAGTTCAAGGACCCGAATTCAATCCCTGGTATCAGAAACAAAAAAAAGACCGTTCTATTTTAGAGAGAAAGAACAATAATTTGGAGATGTGCCTGGAAGTCTCCTGAGATCACAGGAACTTGGGGTGCCCTGAGGGTCTGGGCAGCTTTTTCCATCCTGAGTCAGCCGCTACTCTGTGCTTCCTGGAAAGGAACCCACCGGCTGGACTTTGAACTCTGCGTCCTGATCTTTGGCCAACCCAGCTTCCCCGTACCCCACATACCCTGGCTGTGAGACCAGACTGCATCCACTGAGCTGAGGACTGTCTGGTCCTCAGTCACCCATCACCCAGCCAGAAGTTCCCGCAGGAACGTGAGGCACACCACGCATGCACACACGTGTGCACATCCATGTCTGGCATGCATATTCCTCTCCCTTCTGTTGCCTGAAGGTGTCCCACTGCCGTGTCTGGGACAGAGAGGTAGATGTGACTACAGGCCACCAGACCCTACGCCACCTTGCTCTCAGGCCCAGGGCGGGTCTCTGCTTGTCCAGGAGACAGCTGCCACCTTGCTTGGGGACAGGGCTATGATTCTACACAGGACTCCACCTGCCTTGGCCCTTCACAGTTGCTGACCCACCATGCCCTCTTCCTTCCTGGGGCCACCACTGCCCTGGTCTCACCTGGTGCCTCCTCTTCCTGGTCAGTGATTATCTCACTCCCCTGACACCATCTCCCCAGATCTGAACTGTTTCTTTGCTATAACTTTTTTTTTTTTTTTTTTTTTTTTCCAGGGATTGAACTCAGAACCTTGAGCTTGCCAGGCAGGCACTTATTCTACCGAGCTATCTCTCTGGCTGCTAAAAA